CATAGACATAGCAGGCCCTGCTTCATGGGTGTGCCGCTAGGGGAGTCACACAGGGTTCTGTGCTCAGAAGGGCCCCACGCTTTGGGTTTGATGCTCTGCGGTCACCATCTTGAAATTATTAATAATTTTATCTTTGAATTTGTATTTCGTAAGTGAAGTCTGATGGGAAAATGGAGCATGCACCCAGGACTTGGAGCCTTGGCTCACAGGTGATTCCATCTCCTGCCATCTTCCAGAGACAAGTTCCTGGCTGCCCACTCCTTTGTCCTCTAGTGTCCCAATCCTGCCCAACTTCTGTCCTAGCCCCTACCCAGTGACCATGGGGATTCGGGCACAGGCTTGAAGAGGTCAGGTCAGACATTCACACCCCACGGCATCTCAGAGTGGAGCAGGGTGGGAGCCGTCACTGTGTAGGACTTGCAGCACCAAGTCCCTGTGTAGGACTCACAGCACCAAGCACATTTTGGTGGGTGAATCAGCAAAGGCAAGCCTCTCTTCCAATTCAGGTACCTAATTTGTCTGGGTGTCCAAGTTGTAATGCCCTTAGGGCAGCAGACTGTGGGAAGAGGAGAGAGAAAGAAAATGTGGCAAAAGCCACAATTGGTGAATGTGGGTAATGGGGTATGTTCATTGTTGTATTAGTTTTCTATTGCTTCTGTAACAAATTACCAGACTTGGTTCTGTGGGTCAGAAGCCTGATGCACGTATCCCTAGACTAGAATGAAAGTGTCACCAAGGCTGCATTCCTTTCTGGAGGATCTAGGGGAGAATCTATTTCCTTCCTCTTTCCAGCTTCTAAAGGCTGCCCACATTCCTTGGCTTATGGTCCTTTTCCATCTTCAAATCCAGCAATGACTGGTCTGTCTCACATCGCATCACTCCGACGTTGACTCTTCTGCCTCCCTCTTCCTTTTTTAAGGATACCTGTGGTTACATTGGGCCCACCCAGCAATCCAGGATAATCTCCCTATTTTAAAGTCAGCTTATTAGCAACCTTAATTCCATCTGCAGCTTTAATTTCCCTTTGATGTGTATCGTAACATAGGCATAGGTTCTGGGGATTAGAACATAGACATCTTTGGAGGACCATTATTTTGCCAACCACAGTTTTAGTAAACTTTTTATAGATTTAATTTTTTTCAGAATAAAAACAAAAAGAAAAAGCTCTATTAACGTAGAAAATTCCTGGGAATCTGCAAAAAAAATCTACTAGAACTAATAAGTGAGTTTAGCAAGGCTATAGGATACAAGGCCAACAAACAAAAACCAATTCTATTTATACATACCAGCAACAACAATTGGAAATTTAAAAATTTTAAATACCATTCACAATAGCATCAAAAAAAACATCAAATGCTTAGAATAAATCTAAGAGCATATGCTCAAGATTTGTATGCCAAAAGCTACAAAATATTGGTGAGAGAAATTAAAGAAAACCTAAAGAAATGGAGAGATATACCCTATTCGTGGATTGAAAGATCCAGCGTTGTTAGGATGCTCATTGTCCCCAGATTCATCTACAGAGTCAATGCAATCACAAGCAAAATCCCAATGGGCTCTGTCATAGAAATTGACAAGCTGGTTCTAAAATTTATATGGAAGAGCAAAGGACCTAAACTAGTAGAAGCAATTTTGGAAAAGAATAGCAAAGTTGAATGGCTCGCACTACCTGATTTCAAGACTTACTACTTACCTTAAAGCTATAAATCAAGACAGTGTGGAATGGGTGTAAGCATAGACATATAAATAAATGGAACGGAATAGGAAGTCCAGAAATAGACACAAGCATACGTGGTCAACTGGTTTCTGAGAAAGTTATCCCTAAAGAGCAGAAAACAGCTTTTCATGAGCCAAAAATGTCCACCAAGTCCTAGGCTACCCTTTTAGTAGTGAGCACCCCATCCCTGGAGTTGTGTAAGAAGAGGCTGGATAGCACCTTATCCTGAAGAGACACTTCCTAAACAAGGTGGATCTGCAAGGTCTCCAAAATCTCTGCCCTCTCAGATCCCCAAAGCTGCTGAGGCGGCAGGGAACGCGGGTCGCTGTCCGCGGTGCTGAACTTTCCCAGCTCACCCGATCCTGCTCCCGTCCCAGCCTGTCACTCTGGGAAACCACAACTTCCAGTGCCCCTGGTTTTGCTTTGTTTCATGTCTTATCGTATGTTTTCCCATTTGTACGTGCTGTCAAGTTTTTAAGGTTTTTTTTTATTATGGAAATGTTAAACATATCCAAAATTAGAAAGAATGGTATAATGAACTTCTACGTACCCATCATCCAGTGTTAACTATTATCAACTAATGTTTCGTCAGCTCCCACACACCCAGATTATTTTGAAGCAAATCATCCCATGTATTATATAATTTCATTTTTAAATACTTCAGTGTGGATCTCTAAGAGATAACTCTTTGAAAACATATTTCCAATACATTAACACTTTTAAAAATAATGATTATTCCTCACCATCACCAAACATTCAGCTAGTGTAATGATCAGATTCATGGTTAGGGTGAAAAGCTAAGGGGAGTTGAGGCAGCTGCCTGGAGGTGGCTAATAGAACCAGGACTTAGTACTGGGGCAGAGGTTACCACACTAGCATCGCATGACCCCAGTTGTAAATTGGCACATACCAGCCCCCTTGCCACAGATGACACTGAGCAAGCCTGAGGCATAGGGTGCTATCTCAGACAGGTGGTCATGCCTATGAGGTGGCCCCAGAGGACACCAGTGCCCAGAAACCACAAGTTCCAGGTACACTCCTTCCCAGACAGGTCTAGGTCAAGACTAATTACATTAGAATCTCTGCAGAAGAGTCCTGAGCATCAGTACTTCTATCAGGCTTTCTAGTGTCCAGACAAGGTGGAACCACAGCCTGACCTGGGCTTAAAGACTAACTTCACCACTGACTGGTGATGTGACCTGAGACAAGGAACTTCAGCTCTCTAAGATTCAAACTCCTTGTTGATTTAATCTACTGTGTGCCACCACATCCTACCTTTGTACCTGCAGGTCCATCTCCTGGAATGGCTTTCCTGCCAATTCAAATTCTAGGTATCCATAAAGAACCAGCTCAGAATCCAATTCCTCTGTGGCTAATCCTCCCCCACCCAAAATCATCTTTTCTCCTCCTGACCACATTGGCATTAATTTTATGTATTATATACTAACAGCAGAGCTGGAGGCCCCATAGAAACCAGCTAGTCCAACCCCTGATTTTAAAGACAAGGAAATTAAGGAAAGGACTTGCTGAGTGTCATAGAGCAGATACATGATGAAGTTGTGATAGCCCAGGGAACTTTCTGCTGCCTGGAGCACAGACTTGGGCATTTCCAGATCTACCACTTCCAAATGAACATAACCTCTCTGAGCCTCAGCTTCCTCACCCATAAAATGAGGAGAATAATGCCTACCTCTCAAGATTAATGTGAGAATTAAATGAGATGATGGGCTTTGTAAATTGTAAGACGATGTGTACCTGTGAGGGTTAGTTCCCTGTTACCTCCACAAGGACAGCAATAGAGGCATGTGAGCTCCTTGGGGCAGGTATGTGCCTCAGGCATCAGGAAACATCCGGCAGACAACTGGCACTCAAAAAACCAGACTGGGAGGCTTTCAGCCAAGCCAGGAATGTGGTTGAACCACAGCTGTTCCAGGGCTCCAGGACACAGAGAGGTCCCTGGCTGGGACGCTGGGAGAAAGAGGGGAGCAGCAGACTCATGACTTTACCACACTCGATGGTACCATGGTGCCAGGACCAGGGAGGGCTCTGACATCACACAGGCCTGGGCTCCAATCTTAGCTTTCCTGTGTTTTTCCTGTACTACTCCCTACTCGGGGGCTGCTGTGAGGCTCAGAGGAAGCTCCAAGGAGGCCCAGCAGTGGTGCACCACTTTGGTGCCCAGCACACCACAGAACGTAGTCAAGGTACTTTCACTCCCCACTCCCCTCTCTGGGGGTGACTACATCCCCATTTGATGTAGTCTGTATGGCGGGCTCCAATCTTAGCTTTCCTGTGTTTTTCCTGTACTACTCCCTACTCAGGGGCTGCTGTGAGGCTCAGAGGAAGCTCCAAGGAGGCCCAGCAGTGGTGCACCACTTTGGTGCCCAGCACACCACAGAACGTAGTCAATGTGCTTTCACTCCCCACTCCCCTCTCTGGGGGTGACTACATCCCCATTTGATGTAGTCTGTATGGAGCATTTAATCTACTCAAGTAAGTATTCCATGAGATGCACGTTATTATCTCCATTTTATACGGGGGGAAACAGAGGCCCTGAGAGAGATCAAGGTTTCCTGAGTGAGGCAGACCATAGGGGTCACCCCGAGGGCCAGTGCAGGACAGAGAAAGGCAGAGGAAGGATCTGAGGGGAGGCACCCCCTCCCCATCATTTCAGTCTGCTCCCCCGATCTCCGATGAGGGCATTTCGGCATTTTGTTCCTCTTCTGTAAAGTGTTCTGCAAAAAGCTCTGTGATGGTGCATGAACCCCACTTCTCAGCAAATGCTGCCCTCCAAGCCCCCCATATGGGAATTCCACACCCGAGATGTGTGTCTCAGTTCCTGCCATCCTTTTCCTCCTGGTGAGACAGGCAGGAAGAAGGGCAGGGTGACCTGGGAGCACAGTGACCTGGGCACATACCGACTGGCCAGGCCTTTTCCAAAATTGAAATACCCGGGTCCCAGGGAACTGGCTCCAAGGAGCAGGGTCTCCAGAGAGGCTGGTGGGGTCTCTTCAGCTCCTGGTGGCCACCTGCCCTCATGGTCTGGAACAAGACTGTGAGGGGAAGAGGGAGGCCATCCCCATTTGGCCAACAATTCCAGTGCCCACCCTGGGCCAGGGGCTGGGCTCTGAGCTCCCGGGAGGCAAGCTGAGAATCACACAGCCTGGGGGCAGATGCAGACATACAGGACATGGGCCAGACAGGGTCAGGGGAGACCAGTCATTGGGCTGGCCCAGCTGGCAGCCCTCAGGCCTGATGGGTGGGTCTGAGCTCCACAGCAGCGTCAGTAGAAGAAGCTGCCCCAGGCTGGAGGGGGCCTAATATCCAGGACACTGGTGACCAGCAGGCTGCAGAGGGAGCAGAAGCTGGCGAGTGCAAGTTTTCAGAGCCTGGGCTGTAGTGAAGGGCAGGGTGAAGCCATGTGCAGGTAGCTCCAGCACACGGTAAGCCTGGGCCACCCTCCTCCCAAATCAGGCTCTGCGGGAGGACCCAAGGCCTTTATTGTGGCTGAGCTGGGAATGGCAGGAAGGTCCTGGGGGTGGCCATCCCTTGGAGGGCTGCACTGATTTCCTTGCTAAAGAGCTGGCTGTCAAGTGATGGGAGGACTATCGGGGTCTCCTGCCTGCAGGGAGGGCAGGGTCAGGAAGAGGACCCAGGCAGCCCCACCCCTGACCACATGCACGGCCAGCCCCTCTTGAGGTCACAGGGGGGACATCTGGGACAATGGCAGAGAACTGGCAGGGATTTGGCAAAGCAGGGAAGACCACTTGTCCTCTGTGAAGAGACAGTGACTGCCCCTGGCAGGTCACACAGACTGACCAGTGTCACTGGTCATAAGCATCCAACACAGGTCTGGCCCACAGCAGCAACCAAACACACATGTCATTGGCTGCAGAGTGGAGGGACAGAGGGGCACGGATGCACAGTGGGTGGATGGGTGGCGTGCACTCCCTGCCAGGGTCCTGGGAAACAGCCGGTGCCTTCCCCTCCACCACAGCCATTCTTGCTGAGCCCCAGGCCCTTCTGCCCACCTCACATGACTGGCCCCAGGAGCTGGGCCCTCATCCTGGAGTAGACCTTGAGGGCCAGGCACTTCAGCAGGCCCTGCATCCACCAAGTTCGTCAGCACATCGGGCAGCCAGGCCACCAGCCTGGAGGATGAGGCAGCATGAGCTTCACCCAGGGAAGCCCAGCATGCAGCCCGGCTGAGCCCACCCCCCCCACAGGCCCGGAGTGTGGCGGGGCCGTGCACTAGAGGCACCAGGCCTGAAGGAAGGGAGTGGGGACTGCCCACGTCAGGTTAAGGAGTGCCCAGTGGTGTTGGCCACCATGGCAGAGCAGGTTGGAATCATGGGGGCACCTGCAATGGCAGAATGATCCGTGGACTTTGAACTTGGTAGAGGCGGCCAGGCCTTAGGGTCATGGACCCCACAGAGCACAAGTAGGAAGCCCAGGGGTGGAGAGGGCAGGGCTTTGAGTGAGGCTGGCCTGGGGATGCCACTCAGCTTCCCTGCCCACCAGCTGTGTGACTCGGGCAGGTCAGGGGACCACTCTGGGCCTTGATTTCATCACCTGTCAAATGAGGACAGTCACCTCACCTGTTCCTAACTTTTCCCACATCTCTGTCCATTCCTCTCTCTTGTCCTCAGACCAGTCCCCACCCTCCCCACCCCTCACCTCTTCATCCACTCTCCTCCCAGGAGCCAGAGACCTTCCTACACAGACAGCTGGCCACAGTCCTTTCTTGCTCAAAATGCTCCTGTGGCTCCGCACTGCCCTCATGACAGAGCCAGCACCAGATCCAGGGTGCTCAGAACTGCATCTTGTCCCACTGCCACTGCAGAGGAGAGCTAGAGTCTGTCTACAGAGCCACCACCCCACAGTGTCAGCAGAGGGCTGTCTGACCATGGCTGAGAAAGCACTGGCCGGGCACTTTCTCAGACTCGCTGGACACTGCGGGGCCTCACCCTGTGCCATGTTGCCCTCGGAGGGGCCTCTAACCAGGGGCTCAAACTGGACAGACAGTCCAGAGGGTGTGCTGTGACAAGTAGAACATACGCTGGCCCATCACCTCCTTGTTCTAGACCTTCTGCCTCTACTAATGCAACCTACACGTTGAGCATGTGGGTTATGGAAAATACCAAGAGTGAGTTTCCCTGTGGTCTGGGCAGATTCCCCGTCGGTGCTCACACAGTGGATTTTTTTTTTTTTAACTGAAAAGGCTAGATTTTACATTTGTTCTTTTTTATTTCGAATTGTTTCAGTACCACAGCCCAGCAGGAGGAGAATCTGTCAGTAGAAAGCTCTCTCTCAGCTTTGGGGCTGCAGCAACTTAAACAGCAGGGCTGATCTAGTCATTAACTCAACGTGGAGCAGGACAGAGGCTGTGGCTCGCTTTCATAGACCTTCTTCTGGGGAACGGAGAATTTTTAAAAATACACATCTCCCTATGACACCTCCCTGCTTAAACCCTTCCCTGCCTTACCACTGCTCTCAGGATAAAGAGCACACTCCTCAACTGGCTACAGAGCCCTGTGTGTCTGGCCCCTTCCAGCCTCCCCATCCCCACTTTGTACAGCATGCCACCTTTTGTCCCCAGCCATACTGGCCTCCCTGTCTACTCCTCCAATGGGCCTTACTCTCTTCTGCCCCAGGAACTTTGCACGTGCTGTCCCATCTGCCTGGAACGCTTTTCCCTTCCCTCTTTGCTTAGTAGACTCTTACTCATGCTTCAGATTATAGCTCAAAGTCATCTGCCCTGGGCAGCCTTCCTTGGCCAGACAACCCCTAGTGTGAGCTGCACCAGCTCAGAGCCAGTGTAGGCCTCTCCTAGGTATCCCTAGGCAGAGCTGCAAGTGCACAGGTGAAAGTGTGATGATTTGTGGCCATGAGCTCCATAAGGCCGGGGACTGGGTCTGGGGCAGTGCTGCCTCCCTATCCCCCAGCTAGGGCTCGGCCCTGGTAGACCCTCAGTAAGTTGGTGGAATGAATGAGCAGACCATGCAGAGTGATCCATTAGTCAGCGAGTTAGAACCATTAGTGAGGGCTTAACTGCATCCAGTCTGACCTGGAAGGGCCTTGTTATAGAAAAGGAACCTATGGCCCAGAGAGGTCAGGAGACCTGGCCCAGGCCACACAGCTAATCTGAGATAGAGCAGCTCCTAGAGTTACCCTCAGGAACAGCACATTGGCTCTGAGGCTCTGACAGGTGGCGCAATGGGGCAAAGGTCACAGAGACAGGAGAGGGCCCAGGGTGCTGGCCAGGAGGCCCCGGCTTCTGGTCACAGCTGCCACTTTGTCTCCTTATCAGTCCTGGTTTGCAGAGGAGACCACCAGTGCTCTGGGCCATACAGCCAGCACCAGGCAGCATAGGGAGACCAGGCGGGTTCCATGCCTGCCCAGTCCTGCCCACCCAGTGTGCCAGAGTCCTTCCTGCCTTGGGCACTGGTCTCCACCACATGGGCGCTGGTCCCCTGGCCCAGCCTTACCTTCTGCTCTGGAAGTAGACATACTCGAAGGGCAGCAGCAGGTATGTCAGCACCTGGCCGGGCCCCGACCGGCAGAAGCGGGCCCAGGGGCTGGGGACCCTCAGGCAAGCTTTCTTCAGTGCTGCAAGAGAAGTCACAGCACACCTGGCGCTGTTGAGTCTGTGGACTGGAAAGCCCCACCTACCCCTCCAGTTAGCCCCTCAATGTCACCCTGAGTGCTGGCTGCCTGAGCCCCTCTCTGCCTCACCTGGTCCACAGACTGTGCCCCACACCTTCTGCAGAGGAAGAAACACCCTGACTGAGCCCCTACCACATGCCAGCGGAGAGCTGGGCCTTCCATACATGCTCTCTCCTCATTGTCGCTGAGATGAGCAGGGTGTGCCCCTTTCATGGACGAAGAGACTGAGGTCCAGAGTGGAGAAGTGACTCGCCTAAGGACCATCTCTAGGAAGTGGCAGGGCCAGGATAGACTAGGTCTGTGAGACTCCTGAGCTCTTTCTACCTCTCCTGCCCCCCTAGGATGGGACAGGTACCCCCCTGCCACCTCCCTCAATAATGGTAACGCATCGGTCTTAACAACCACAGCAGCTGTGACCACAGCAACCATTTCCCAAGATCAGTATTCACTGAACTGACCAGAGTGGAAAGGACCAGCCTCTGGGCTGGGACAGAGCCAGAGCCCAAATTCCAGCCTCCAGACCACAGGTGAGACCACCAGCCTCAACTCTGGCCAGTGCCATCTAGAGACAGTGCTTCAGAGGGTTCACAGATGAACAGGACAAAGACCCAACTCCATGTTCACCTGCTGTGTGTCCTAGGATGAGTCCTTTCCCTTCCCTAAGCCTAGGTTCCGTCCTCTGTAAAGTGGGGATATTGGCAGGACCTTCCACCTGGGCAGGTAGGTGAGGATTAAGAGATGTCTGTAAGGGCCAGGACAAATAATCCCTTTCCAGCTGACTGCAGGGTATGGAGGTGGGGAGAGGAGGGAGGGTAGGGTGGGGGGACTGCCCGTCCCAGAGGTAGCTCTCTGGTGCCCCGTGTGGTGCAGGGACACAGCTAGGGCTCCAGAATCCCAAACTTGGACCTCGGGCTCAGCACAGATCCAGGCCCATTTTTGTATGCCATTGTGTGGTCTTCGGCATGGAAAGAGGCACCCTCCTTATTCCTCATCCCCTCTCCCACCCCCGCTGTCCCTGCTGTGGCCTCTGCCGCCATCACCACTCCTCCCAGTCTCCCACTTCCGCAGCCTCTCCCGCCGCTAGGTCACAACACTCCCCCAGAGACTCCTCGCCTCTCTCCTCCTGCAGCTCTCGAGGCCACCTGCATAACCCTCCCGGCCTCCCACAGCTCATCTCTGCTACCCTGTCCCTCAGCCACTATGCTGCCACCAAGTGGACCTCTCAGGGCTCCCTCTTCCATCCTGGGACGTCTGCACGTGCTATGCCCTCTGCTCAGATGCTTGTCTACCTTCTCTTTTGTGGCCAACATCTCCTTTTGAGTCTTAGTTAGATGCTGTCCAAACTCATCCCCACCATCATTACATGTGCCTAGGGGACCCCATACGTTCCTGTTGTTGTAATTGTGACACTCGGTCATGGAGCAGAACAGACTAAATGGTTCAGAACAGAACTCCTGGTTCTGCCATTCGCTAGCTGTGTAACCTTGTCACTTAACCTCTTTGTGCTATGGTTTCCTCATCAGTACAATGGGAATAGTACTGTACCATACTCAGAGTATTGTAGGGAGGGTGAAATGAGTCCATCTCCATCTGGGGAGTCCAGAACCTTCCATGTGTGCCTCTCCTATGTCCCTTAGCACCTTCTGCTCTTTCTTGCGCAGTGGGCAGAGCCCTGGCTTTCTCAAGCACAGGCTTTGGTTAGATCCCAAAATTGCAGGCTCTGAGACCTTGGCGAGTCCCTTCCCCTCTCTGAGCTTTGGCCCCTCCTCACCAGTGAAGTGGGGTTGGAAGAACGCTCAGGCCTGGGTTGTGCTGAGGAGTGAGTGACACAACCTGTGAAAAGTCCTCAGCACCTGCTGCTTAGTAGGTGCTCAAAAAATGAGTCCTGTCCTCTTCCAGACCATGAGTGCCTTCAGGGCAGGGCCCCTGACCCCAGGTCCCTGAGTGCAGGGTACCAGCAGGTGTGCAAGTGCAGGAAGGGGCAGTACCAGCCTCCAGCTCTGGAGAGAGCTGCTCAAAGTTGGGCACATCCTTGACCAGCACGTTGGGCACTTCCCAGTTGAGAAACAGGCCTGCCTTCTGGCCTCTGTCATGGCCAGCATCCCAGGGCCCATCAGCTGGGGTTGGGTGTTCCTTAGACACCAATGTCCTGGGTCAGGGGACAGGAGAGGGACTGACAAGTCAGCACATCTAGAGGCTCTGGATGAAAATGACTCCCCGGTTCTCCATGCTGTCTGCACCCCTCAGCGCCCAAACCCAGCTCTGGGGATCTGCGTACTGCAGGATGGACCTAGGGCTTATCCCAGATGACTCATCCCTGCACTCCCCGGCCCTGCTCTGCTCTGCTCCCTGTCTACTTTCTAGTGATTCATCAGAGCCCAAACCCCAAAGACATGGTTCAGGGTTCAAATTCTGACTCCACTACCTGCAAGCTATGTGACCGAATTCCCCTGTGCCTCAGTTTCCTTCTCTGTGAATAGGGAAAGTTAAGACCCACTTTATGCAGTTGTTCTGAGAATTAAATGAGATAAACACATAAAACTCAAGCCCAGGTGTGGGCATGTATCAGTTGCTCAGCAAATACTTGCTGCTTCTGTGTGGTTGTGGTTGTAGTGTGGGGGTGGACGGCATGAGCTCTGGAGCCAGACAGCCTGGGTTCAAATCTCAACTCTGCCACTTCAAACAGCACTTAGAATGTGGGATGACGTGTCAGCGCTGCAGCGCATAAGACCTCTCTGGCCGCGTGAACACATGCGCAGGCACGCACACCTCCTGCCATACTGAGGTGCGTGCTCTGGGGGTGCCAGCCTTGGCCTCTGCTCTTGCTGCCCTTCCCTCTGCTTCAAATGCCCTCTTCCTTTCCATCTTCAACCTTGCCATAGTCTTCATAACCAGTCCAAACCCAGCTCATCTGTCATTGCCTCCAGGAAGCCCTCCTTGCCCACCCCCTGTACCCCCGGGTTGGGTCACATACCTCCTCTGGGCTCCCAGAGCAAGGAGCGTCCCTCCATCACTGCACCCATCCCCCTGGCTCTGTCACCATCACCCTGCACCAGGCTCTGGGCAGCTTGAGAATGGGGCCCATGTGTGAGTCTTCTCTGGGTCCCCAGCATCCAGCTCAGGCCAAGCACAGAGCAGATGCTGAGAAAGACAATGAGTGAGCTCAGGTCCCTAATGGCTCAAAGGCACGAGAGTCAGGGGCCACCTGGTGCTCACATGGGACATGATTCTCAGCCACCGGGGGGCTGCCACCTACCACGTCTCTCCAGGAACCTCAGGGCGTCCAGGTAGCCTTGTCTGCAGCTGTCAGCCACTACCTACCAACACACAGGGGGATGAGATGGGCAAAACCTGGACCTGAGCCTTGAGCTGGTGGTCACAGGCTAGAGACTTGTCTACTGGATGCGATCCCAGCCCAGCATACACTCCTCAAGTGACCCCTCAGCAGGGCTCAGGGACCCTGGGGGACCGCAGCACTGAGCAGGGAGGGCCACAGGGCTGCAGGCAGAACAGATCTGCTCGAGCTGGTCCTGCCAGCAGTCCCGTTCACTTCCCTGCTCTGCGACACCCTGGCCGTGTGCTCTTGCACCAGCCCCACCCCTCTCGGGCTCAGTTCCCTCCTTTGGAATATGGGATAACAAGGCCTGGCCCGGACGGCTGTGACTTCGCCTTGCTCTTTGTAGGTCAATGGATGGTAGTTCTCTTTGCCTTTTCGATGTCATTTCCAGGACCTGCAGTGGGCAGGGGAACCCAGGAGCCCACGCCTGCCTGTCTGATCATGTTGGAGTGAGCAGGACTGAAGCCATGTTGGGACCTAAAACCACCTGGGCTGCAGGCAAATTTTAAAAAGACAGTTTTTTTCTTAGCACGCATTTCTCTGAGTTTCTTCTATTTCCATGATTATTTGGTATTTCGAACCTTGGTTATGGGGCCAGATGACATTATTGACATAAATGTAAAGTTGTGTTCCAGTCAGCGTGGAGTTTCAAACTCGCTACAAGACATGTACTATCCAGACTCTGAGAAACCAAAGACACTAATAAAGCTATTCCGATTCCACCCTGAATCAGGACTCTGAGATAACAGCCAGGACAGGAACAGAAAACTGAAGGAGCCTTGGCCAGACCTTGCACCTGGCCCCTTGCATGTCCCCTCCCTCCCATTTCCCATGTTCTACTCCCTCATCCTCCTCTTTAAAACCCCTCAGTAAATCTGAGTCATTGCGATGGCTTCCGTCTGGCCAGTCTCCTTCAGGTGTGCTGGAGAGACGGGTCAGCCTAACACCTCTCCTCCAGTCACCGGTGTTCCTGAATAAAAGCCGACTTCCACTTTCACCATTTGATTTTTGAAGTTGTTTGTTTTTTAGTTGGGGCAGGCAGCCAGACTTGGGCCCTGTAACAATCAGAGCCCCACCCCAGGGCAATGGCACCTACAAGCTCAGGAAGGAGTGCCACCCCCTCCCCCACTTGCTGTGTGCCACCTCTTGGACAGCCTCAGTTTCCCTGTCTATAAGATGGGGCTGAGTTTTCTGCACACCCCATGGGTGTGGGAGGACTGGAGTAAATGAACACAACCTTGTTTCATAAATTATAAAGCACTGCACAAACAGGACAGGTATGTGGGGTGGGGAGAGCCGGGGCATGGTTGGGGCAAAAGAACGAGTTACAGTGATAAACTGTTTACTGTCAAATTGTTCATTTTCCAGAAATACCAAGGGCCAAAGAGCAGGAAATGTGGGTTTATTGTTCATTGTGTTTTTGCACTTGGTATTTCTGGCTCTGCTGCTTCCAGGGTGGGTGACTTTGAACAAGTCCCCTAACCACTCTGAGCCTTAGTGTCCTCCCCGAGAAATGGAGATGCTAATGGGACCTCCTCTCAGAGCCTGCCCAGGAGAGCACAAGCCAAGGCCTGGCTCAAACACCAGCTTGGCAGAGTTGGTGTTAGTGTGCTCCTGTGACGTGGGGCCAGTCTTAACTCCACACCTGCTCAGGGAGGGAAGGGACAAGAAGGACCCAACGTGAGCCCCAGGCTCTGGATTCAAGGACTTAGCTGTTAGACTCAGGACATACATCATAACTGCTCTGGGCTGGGGGACAGGCAGTTTGTGGGCACGAAGTCTGACTCACAGGTCCCTGAGGATGGCTGGGCCTCCAACACCTCTGAGGAAACAGACCTACCTCAGGGCTGGGGGATATGAGGGCCTCAAGCACCAGGAAGATGTTCTTGGTGCAGATTTGGAAGCTGGTGTTGAAGGCGTTCAGCTCATGCAGGCTGGCCGAGGTGCTCTGGGGACAGATGTCCTCAGTCCCGCGGAAGGGGGACACAGTAATGGTGGAGGGGGATTCCAAGAAGGGCATGGTGTTGCTCAGACCACCGTCGATGTAACGCTGCAATTGGGGTGGGCGGGTGGGCAGGTAGGCAGTGCTGCCCTACTCCCACAAGGCCACTGAGAACAGGCTGCAGAGGGTGACCCTCTGGCTGTCCCCAAGTCACTAGGTCCACTCCAGCCCTGGCTGCTGAGCACCTTCAGGAGGAGGGGGAGGCCTGGCACACAGAAGGGGCTCACGGAGTGCTGGCTTCCTCCACCCATGCACTTCTCAAGAGTATGCACCCTGGGCTGCCCAGAGCACGGGGCAGCAGCTCGGTCACAGAACCTCCAGAGCACACTCACCTCCCCTCTGAATGCGGTGGGGGAGTCATCCCACAGTAGAAAGGAAAGAATAAGGTGCAGACCAAGGCCTGGGAAGAGAAGAGGCAGCAGGAACACAATTGTTCATGCCCCTTGTATTCAAACCCCCCTTAGGCCAGGTTTCTAATCCCCAGAACAGCCTGCAAAGGAGGGTCATGGTCCTGTGTCCAGATGAGGGAGCCAAGGCCCAGGGAGGCAGCATGTCCAGCCAAGTTCCCGAGGTTAAGCAGAGATTGGAACTCAGGCTTGTGGTGACCCTGACCCTCTTCTTTCTGCTGATGGGACCTGCACACACACACACACACTTGTGACAACCAAAAGTGTCTCCAACATTGCCAAATATCCTGTGGGAGAAATAAAAGTCACCCCTGGTTGAGAGCCACTGACCTAGAGCTTACTGAGTTCGTTGAATGTAGAACCTTGTCTCACAGAACACCTGCAGATGTCCCTGCAGCCCTCTCCAGGAGACGCAGAGCCTGTACCGGCTCTGACCAAATCGAGATGCAGGAGATAGCCTCGTTCCCACAGACTAATAATATCATTAACTGAGCACCTGCTGTGTGCAGGCCCTGTGCTATGTGCCATACAGGCAAGGATTCTGGGACTCACTTGGAGATCCCCATCTGGTTTTCTTGGGAGTGCATGAACATCAGCCCATAGCAAGGGGCTGGTCCCGTTCCCTGCATGCTAATAGCCAAACACCTATATTGTGACTAGCGTGGACTCAGAGACAGTCACCTCACTGGGAGCCAGAGGCACCAGGATGAATCAGGCTCTGTATTGGAAACCCCATTCTGGGGGAAGACAGAGACCCTGATAGGAAGGGTGAGCATGGGAAGCACAGGCCTCCCTGCCCCAGCTGAGGCCTGCAGGGTAGAGACTCGTCTCCCTATCCGTGCGGTGCTCCCAGGCCCCCACTCAGCCCTCCCGGTGCCCTCAGCCTGCACCTGGCAGGTAAGGACGGGGCCTCTTCCCTAACCATGTGGTTCTCTCTCATACCCTTCTGTTTTATTTCAATACTGGATGGTTTCTTAACTCATTACTAGTTTATTATCTACATGTGTTTATTATCTATACCCACATACCCATTAGAATATAAGTCCAAAGAAGGCAAGAATTTTTCTCTGTTCCATTCCTTTTTATAGTCGTGATGCCTAGAAGAATGACTGGCACATAAGAGTAGCTCAGTAAACGTTTGCTCACTGTTAAGCGCCTGGAGGATGAGGTGGAGTGGGGGCTGGGCAGGCACCGTCTGGAAAGAGCAGCCCCTGTGGGGGCCCTGACTGTGCCCCTCCCCAGCCAGGCCCTTCCATGTGCAGCCCACGGGCACCTCCACAGCAAGCTGGGGGTCCCTCTCTGCACTTGTTTCCTTATTTATAAACAGACTGAGGAGCCACGAGCTCCTCCCCCCACCCCTGCACATGTGTCTGCCCCTCGGAAGCACCTGGAAGTCACTCTGGCACTAGAGGGAGCCCACCCACCTGCCGCCGTCCCTGAGTTCCAGCACCTGCTCACCTGGATGAGCTCATTGCGGGTGGCGAAGTTCGTGACTATGAGGTTGCTGCCATCAGGCCAGTGGGTCAGAGAGATGCCCAGCTGCTTGGAGGCCAGGATGTGAATGTTGTCGGGGAGATGATCTACCAGCTGCTGCTTGATGTGCTCCATAGGTGCGTAGGCCGGGTGGAAGATGCCCAGGCTCAGCCGCTCCACCTGCTTGACCACGCCCAGGACTTGGGAGCAGCGGAAGTCTGCAGGGTGGGCAGGGGAGGGGAGTCCTCAGACAGTTAGGGGGCCTGCCCACACCTCTCAGGCCCAGGCCCGAACTTCCTCCTGGGTGCAGTGGGAATGGAGGGTCCTCTCCTCTCTGGCTCGGAATTTGTGTGCCCAGCTCTGAGCTCAAATGCTCCATCCACCTTCTGTCCTCAAGTGACTCTGGGAAAGTCTTTCTGGCTTTGAGCCCCAGATCCTTCCTCTGCAAATAGGGGTAAACATAGTCTCCAGCCCTGGGGTTCTCTTAAGGATTAAATGCAGACGTGCTGGGTGTAAAGATGGCAGGGCACAGTGCCAGGCACAAGCTCTCTCGGGGCTCCCACCCCCCCCTCCTCGAGAATCAGGTTTGGTTAGGGTATCCCCCACTTCTCTGCATGGCCCCCTGCCCTCTGCCATCTGGGACTCACCAGTGGACTTGCCGCTCATGATGCCAACAGCACCGAGCGCCCCAGAGGAGGAGCCATAGATGCAGTGGGCGCTCTGGAGGAGGCGCGGGTACGCTGGCACAGGCATTGGGTCACACCCACGTGGTAGAGATCCAGGAAGCCAGCACCAGAGAAGCACAGGCTCCAGCTGCCCTCCTCCTCCAAGAAGCCCGTGGCAGTAGGGTGGGGAAGGATTGGAATAGGGCCGGGAAGGAGGATTGGTGGCAGATGAGCCTGGATGGGTGCCGGACAGGGAAGGATCACTCTCTGGTTGAGGGTGGTGCTGGGATAAGGCTGGGATGCAATGCTGGGCTGGGATGCAGCCCAGATGTGGTGCTCTGTTGAGAGCCCACCCCCAGCCCTGGTGCCACCTGTCCTGCCCCTGGGCTGCATCACCCGCCATCCCAGCCAATGATGTTCCCAGGCTGTGATCACTACTCCACCCCAGGTATGTGCTAGGTGTGCCCAAGAAGTGCCCTCACGCTGTGGGCACCCTTGCCTGCCCTGGGGGCCAGGGCTGACCACAGGGGACGGTAGGTTCCAGGTAGCCACGCAGCCTCCGTGCCCTCACTGTGCCTTCTTTGCAGTAACCCTCATAAAGCTGTGTGAGACGGACCACTGCGCCCTCTTTTGGGGGAGACTGAGCTGCAGAGAGGCTAAGGCACTCGATCAGCCAGGAAATGCTTCCCAGGGCACTAGCCCACAATCCTGTCACCTGGGCAGCTGTTCTGGAGATCAAATGGGGGCAACGAGTGAGATTAAGGACCCCAAAGAAATTCTCGCTTAAATCCACATGGGTGGTGCAGATGAGGAGGCGGATGGTGGCGTTGCCTGGGGCGGTGGGCACAGCCAACCCCCACTGGGGCATGGCTGAGTGAAAGACCATGGGGCACTCCAGGGCGCATCCCAGAGCCTCTGAAGTAACAGGCAAAGGCAGAATGAGGTCTGCTGCATGCTGCCAACAATGCACGCATTTAAAAATACACTCTCTAGACATTACTGTGCATTTTTAACATAATACAGGTAACTGCCCGGAGGTCACTTGTTAAACACAGTAGAGGGCGCGCTTATGGGAAGTGGAAGGCGTGGAAAGCAGAGAGAGGGGAGAAAGAGGCAACGAATAAACTGAAACAGATGATGTGTCTCTGAGGGGCAGGAAGAAGGGGGGCTGGGGACTCAGCTAGAAAGAAACAGCAGAGCTGGACTTGACCCCAGGCCAGCTGGTCTTTAACATGATGCTCAGGCTCTTCCCTGCACCATGCCCGGCACAGTAGGGAGCAGTGCAGTGGGGCAGATCCTCCTGGACTCAGACAGCTCTGCTCGAGGGTACAGAGTGCCTGGAGGTCTCTTCCATGGCAGGGGGCTAGGGGGTCAGGAGAGGCTTTATGAGGGGCCTCTGAAGGTCAATGACACACCTTTGCAAGTATTTACCTCCTACCTGGCACTGGGCTAAGCACTTTTCCTAGGTTGTCTCATTTAATCTTCACAATAGCCCTGTGAGGTAGAGAGTATTATCAACCCCATTTTACAGATGGAGAAATTGAGCCATAAACCAGGAACCCAGGAGAGCCCAGCCAGTAAGAGGCTGAGCTAGGACTCTGCTCTGAGAGCAGAGAAGGGGAGGGGGCAAGAGCGGGGATGGGGGAGTCTATGCTCCAGGCAGGAGGAGTCGGGGGTGGGGGGGAGACTGGAGGGCTTGGGGTTTTATTACTTGGAGAGTCTCTCTGCAGGACTGGGGCAAAACAGTGCTTCTCAGAGAGTCCTTCTGGAAGGCCGAGTATGGAGAGGCTGAGGCAGGGGCCAGACAGGTGCAGTAAGTCAGGCCAGCTGCACAGTGAAAATTTGTGGTTAAGTGACAAATGGCAAGTGCAAAGCAGTATATGTAGGATGCTACCTTTTTATATGAAATTAGGAGCTCGCCAGTTAGCTCAATTGGCTAGAGTTTGGTGCTGATAACACCAAGGTCCGTGGTTCAATCCCTGTACCAGCTGGCTGCCAAAAAAGGACAGGGGGATAAGAAAATATTCATGTATCTGCCTTTTTTTTCGGTTTCTTGTTTTGGAAAAAGAAACATGAAGAGGATAAGCCAGGAACTAGAGACTGGTATTTATAAGGAATGGGTGGGAACAGACAGAAGGCATGGAGAAGGCATCTTTGAGTTTACCTTCATGTTTGAATTTGACTTGGAATCACTTTATACACTAAAAAAAATATTTTTTTAAATCATAAAGCATTACAGGAAAAAAAAATTAAATTGCAATACAATCAGAAACAAATGAACCTAACTGGACTTCGAGTTAATAACACAACCACACTGAATGGGGGCAGGGGTTACTAACCCAAGTAGCTTCTGAACGCAAGACTTCAATTATATATCTGCAGGCTAAAAACAAAGGTACTGCAAGCAAATATTGACCTCTACTTTTTGCAATGGTATGGGGCAGCAATTCTAGCAAAATAGTGAAACTATATTCTGTGATTTGTAGGAATGAGCCAAGAGAAAATATCTTAAGGATGATGGGAGTCAGGATTCTTACTGTAGGAGATGTGTGTTACAAATAGAAAAAGACAGAAGGCTAGCATGCACCCTGAATTAGAAATGAATGTTTCAGCATGAACTCATAGTTTTTGACTGATAGGTATAGAAAAAGATGTAGGGATGCGTTTCTATTATTTGTATGTATTTTTATTTATTTTTTGAAGCTCTGTCCTCTGAACAGGCCTACAAGTATGAATACCCCAAAAGGAGTGAGCACACCTAGCACCCAGGTCTTGGTTTCTAAATACCATTTCACACAGGAAGGAAAGAGCTCTTTGGGAAAATGACTGGTTGCAGGGCTGGGCAGGAGAAACAGGAGAAGAGCCCGGAACATCTAATGCCAGAAGGTAGGGAAGTGCTCAGAAATAACGAGCACCCGTCAGTCTTTGGTTGGAGCCAGCTTGCAGGGATTTTACTGGCTAAACCTGAGACAATTCGAGCATCACAACAAATAATGTTAATAACAGAAAGTTGATGGAATAAGATAAGAATCCATGGTTCCACACTGATATAAATAGATAAATGAATGAAAATATGGGGGAAAAGGCAAAGCTCTCCTTTATGTAAAATACCAAGTAATAATTGCAAACCCATCTCACCTCTGTATCCATTTATCTATATATCTATGTCTGTATCCACGAGAGAGAGAGAGAGAGAGAGAGAGAGAGAGAGAGAGAGAGAGAGAGAGAGAGAGAGGAAGCAAACGTAACAAATGGTAATGACTGGAGAATCTGGGTAAAAGGTTTTTTGGTTTGGGGTGGGGTTTTTTTTGTTTTTGTTTTTTTTGCACTACTCATGCAACTTCTCTTGCTGCACCTGATTCCTAATGCACCAGGGTTTCCCAAGAGCATTTCTGCCCAGGACCCAAGACCAAGGGAGTTGAGAACTAGACACCAGGGTGTATAGGTCCCGGACTCTGCCACTGAGGCTTGGAGCAAGTGACTGCCTCTGTTATGGTCGTCGGGAAAGAAACAATACGTACCCCACTAGAGATGGATAAAAGGAAAAATTTATTTACTGACAGCCGGGGCCACACATACCAACTCAGGGAGTGCAGCCCCGAACAGTTTTTGCTTCCAGCTTTTATAATGGCTTAGCGAGGGTGGGTTCATTGTTCTATGAGTTTAGCCAATGCAAGCAAGCCAGGAGTACATAAGCTAATTTTGCAGTTAGCCTCGCGTCCCTCCCACTTGGGGACTTTTTGGCGGGACTTTCTAGAGCTACTTCTTGTAAAAGCTTTCATGTCTGGGAAACAGAAACCCAATTCTAAAATGGTGGCTGCTATTCTAAGATGGAGTTGCTCATGACTGCTTCTTCACCTCCCTCTGGGCCCCAGTTCCCCTACTTGTAAGTTGGGGAAATTAAATTACATCAGATTTCAACCTTCAAGAATGAAGGTCCTGCTTAACACACACACACAATGCCCGTGGGGTGCTGTAGTAAAATAGTTATCATTTTAACACCATTGATTGAAAAAAATGCTGAATGGCCAAGAGCTGCTGTGAATTCAGTAATGCTTTGGAAAAGGTAAGCAATTCATTGGTCACAGCAAGCACCAGAAAAATACTTGTCCCTGTGTGTACAAAGCATTCTACTGACGTAAAACAGACTCCCATGGTGCGGCCACAGATTCCAGGTCCCCTCTGCATAGCCGGTGCCCAGCAGAGAGCCTGGTGCACAGTAGGTGTTTCTGAAATGAGCAAGACGTTTAGATTAAGATGAGGAAAAACAGGCAGGTCATGGCCCAGGGGGCATGCCCACCCGCTTGCCCAACTCCACAAGAGGTGGGCATCAGAATCAGAAAGCAGACCCAAGTCCCACCCTAACAAGCCCAGGAGAACAATTTCAGTTATTCTGGACACATGGGATTTGAGCAGATCTGTTCACAGGTCTTGCTGCTCAGGGAGGTCGGGGCAGAAAGAGAGGAAAACAGCCCGGACTGGGAGTAGAGACAGACGGAGGCACAGAAAAACAGGCCCTTGCAGAAGGCAGGGGGAGGAGGGAGCTGAGACCGCCCCGCCAGGCCTCCTTCAGAACCTGGGTCCAGCCTCCTTATTTCCCCAAGAGGTAACCGAGGGTGGAAGGCAGCACCTCCCCGTGGGGAGGGCCAGGGGCTGAGCAAAGACTTTCCGTGTCACCCTCCCAATCCTGTGAAGCAGGGTTATTATCCCTGCACAGAGGAGGGGACAGCAGCCCAGGGATGCCAGTGGTTTGCCAGCGGGTTAGGGCTGAGCAAGGACAGGGTGCCAGGCCTCCTGACCCCTGTTGTCCCCAGAACACAGACCCAAACTCCAAGGATAGAAGAGACCAGCTCTTCATGGTGTCACCAAGACTCAGCTCCAAAAGGGAACAGTCAAGCCCCAGATGACCCTATTCACATAGCATTGAGCCATGTCTGCCTTAGTTTAGCCAGTGCCCCGGGGGCCTGGGAAATGCTCAGGTGAGTGGAACAGATGATCTACGCTGGGGAAGCTGGCTGTTCTGAAGCTGTCATGGTGACCTCTGATGGCAGTGACCAGAGCTTTGGCCTTCGCTCCCACCCCCAGGCCTCGCCCACCTGTGGGACGCCAGGTGCAGCTTCCTCCTTCCCTCCACAGAGCCGGGCGCAGACCTGACCTCTGTGCCTCAGCTCGACCTTGAGGAGGGGCCAAGAGCCACGGCCTAACCCCAGCCCCCATCCAAGACATGACACTGGGAACGGTGGTCCCAGGAACCTGCAGACACCAGAGCTAGGGGCCCTGGGAGGACAGTAACTGGCCCATTTTACAGATCAAAACATCAAGGCCAAATGTTCTTCCTGTCCTTTGTCTATGACACTCTATCCTGATCCAAAAAGGATTTCAGAGGAATTACA